TCCCCGTGTAGCAGAACACGCGTTTCACAAAAGGAGGGGGGAAGCGTGCGAGCGGTTTGGTGCACGAAATCCACGTTAGGGGAAGAAAAACCTGCAAAGGAAGGGGGATGAGGTAATTAGAACACTATTTTTATACAATATTGAAAAAATACAAATTTTTATTGTGATTTTCTTTTTTTTTTTTTTTTGGCTTTTTCTTCTTTTTTTTTTCTTTTTTTTTTTTTTTTTCTTCTTTTTAAATCTTTTAAACTGATATCACCACCCAGCACTTAACTCTACTCCTAAGTAGCACCTACAGTAAAGGTTATAGCACAAGCAAACTGCTAGGTCAGCAGGTAAGCAAGTTAAACAGTGCCAGCAAAACGTGGCCCCTCCCTCCCCAAAGTAATGAGAAAAAACAGCGTGCTAGATAAGAGTTAAGTACACCATTACATGTTAAATAGTTAATATTACCCTTCCGACAAGCCACAAATGCTAGATAGAGAACTTCAGCACAGTCACTAGCCACAGCCCTAACATCACTGCTTTAAAATAAAAAGGGGAAAAGGAGAGGAAAAACCTTTGCTTCATGCCCGTCATTGACAGAAAGGAAATTCTTTGTGTGTTTTTATGAAGGAAAACCATGCTAAAGCAAAAGGGTACTTCACGAGTTGTGTTTGTTGTTTTGTTTCCAAAAGAAAAGAGGAAAAACCAAAACCAAACCAACCAAACCAACACGAACTGATTGTGCTTTATGAATTAGAAACGGGATTGTAACCTCCCAACCCCCCGCGCCTCAAAAACTCGGTGGCTTTTCTAAAGGAAAAAAAAAAAAAAAAGAAAAAAAACCAAACCAACCAACCCCTTTTGGGAACGTGACAAAGGTACCAGTCTGACATTCAAAACTCCGCTTGAGGGGTGCTCAGGGTGGGTGGGTTTTTCCCCCCGTGGGCTGGCCTGTAGGTCGCGCCACAAATTAAAAGCATCTCGCCCAAAGCCCTCCGAAAACCCCAAAAGAACACGGCAGGAAAGATCCAGCTGTAAAAATCCATCGTTGTTCGACTCTCCAACGCCCAGCTAGCCCAGCTGGAGCACACCAGCATCCCAGGCAGACGCTGACCACGTGCGATCTCACCGCGTTCAAACCGACCAACGCAAACCTCAGCTTGCGGAAAGACACCCGGAGAAAGCAAACCTTTCGCCTCAGAAGCATCCTCCAAAGGAAACGGAAACAACCCAAAGCAGATGCACTTGCTTCCTCGATCGGTGCTTTTAGGCTTTTTTTTGGTTTAATTCATCTCAAATTTTTCCAGATCATACTCTTTGTTAATTTTTTTTACGGCATTTTATTCCTGTTGCGCACACACAAGTAGATGGCTGCCAAGCTGGTGCAGAAGGGGGAAGGGAAGAAAAAAAAAAAAAAAAGGAAAAAAAAA